GGGGGCGGGGGGGGGGAGCCGGCGCCTGCGCACCAAAGAGCAGCAGGTGTCTGACTGTCGGCGCGTGCCTCAGACCGTCCCCTCCTCTCCGTTCTGTGCGCGCGCCGCTCACGCGACCCCTTTGCTACCCACGTGCCTTTAGCGCCTCTTCTCGCGGACTAGCAGCGCCGCACAGCGCGCGCCCCCGCTCCTGTCCCTCTTTGCGCGCGTGCCTGCGCCTGTCTCTGCCTCAGCCAGCGCGGAGGGGACTGCACCTGCGCTCCCTACTGCACAGCCTGGAGCTGGCACCGCCGCCCCCTCCCCGTGTCCGTGCAGTACAAACAATGAGCCTGCCAGGAGCAGCCTGCCCCGCTGCATAGAAAGGACCCGGAGACCTTCCTCCTCCAACAGGGGAGAAGCCAAGGTGACCATCATAGAGGGCTAGTCCCGCTGTCTGTCTGTCACTCTGTGTTTCCATCTGTCTGTATGAGGTTGTGTTACCCTCGCACAGATGCTTGCATGGCATTGCTCTGTCTCCCTACCTCATCACATCCATTGCTATTAATTCAGGACCAAGGATGCTCTGCAGGGTAAACATCCCCCAGCCCGAATTTCCAACTCATGTAGATAGGATGATGTCTCCTACTGCTATGGTTAAAAGAATTCTGCTGGATTGCCTATTCCGGGTTTGAATCATGAGAATTCTTAACAAAATGGTTAAAAACCCTGATGCTTAATTGCAAACCTGGCTGGTGACTTGTGATTTTATATCATGCAACAATTGCTCTTTTTCCATATTTAAACTCATGTGCTTTGGGTTTGTTTATCTTGTTAATCCAAAAAACCTTTCAAACAGTTCTAGCTATATGAACAGGTTTTTATTTCTTTAGTGCAGTCCTATGTGCCCATACCATATTTCAGTTGTTTCTCACTTGTTTTTAATGAAGCAAATCTTTCTAATTACTCCATGCCCTGTTCTTTTGTTTTCTTTAAATAATTTGAGGCAATTTTAAGTTGTGCTTTTCTTCATCATTTGAACTGTCACATTTATGTAACATGTGCCTACCTGCAAATGAGATTGATAGCGATATCTAAGATATTGCATGTTCTTGAATTCACCAATTATGTATCTGAACATTAAAAAATATCTTTTCATTGAAGAAGACAGGGGTTAAAATGAATGAAGATCTGAAGGCTAATTTAAGCTGGCTGCCTCAAGATCATTTAGAAACCAGCGCTACAGAGAATGTCTCAGCTGCAGTCTCCTCCCTGATTCCTGTCGTAGACCCAGAACCAGAGCTCATAGTAAACCCCTGGGACATTGTTTTGTGTACTTCAGGAACCCTCATCTCCTGTGAAAATGCCATTGTGGTCCTTATTATTTTCCAAAATCCTAATCTCCGTGCCCCCATGTTCCTTCTGATAGGCAGCCTGGCACTTGCAGACCTCTTAGCAGGAATTGGATTGATCATCAATTTTATTTTTGCTTATCTTCTACAATCGGAAGCTACAAAACTGGTCACTATTGGACTCATTGTTGCCTCTTTCTCTGCATCAGTCTGCAGCTTGCTGGCTATTACTGTTGATCGTTACCTCTCATTGTATTATGCTTTGACTTATAATTCAGAAAGAACTGTCACTTTTACCTATATCATGCTTATTTTGCTCTGGGGAGCATCTATCTGTATTGGACTGCTGCCTATAATGGGCTGGAACTGCCTCAAAGATGAATCCACCTGCAGCGTTATCAGACCACTCACTAAAAATAATGCAGCTATCCTTTCAGTCTCTTTCTTGCTCATGTTTGCTCTCATGCTGCAGCTCTACATTCAAATTTGTAAAATCGTGATGCGCCATGCCCATCAGATTGCCTTGCAACACCACTTCCTGGCCACATCCCATTATGTGACCACCCGAAAAGGAGTATCTACTTTGGCTATTATTTTGGGGACCTTTGCTGCTTGTTGGATGCCTTTTACACTCTATTCTTTAATAGCAGATTACACTTATCCTTCAATATATACCTATGCCACCCTCCTGCCAGCCACCTACAATTCCATCATTAATCCTGTAATATATGCTTTTAGAAACCAGGAAATACAAAAAGCATTTTGGCTCATCTGCTGTGGTTGTATTCCCTCTAGCCTGTCTCAAAGAGCAAGATCACCCAGTGATGTTTGATTAACAGCCAGCCATGAGGACTTTAATTAACATTTTGTTTTTCAGACATTCCTGCAACAATCTTCAGTTAGATACATTCCTTAGATTATACATATCTGATTCATATTCAAACCATAGGATGCACTGAGCCTTTTGAAAAGACAAACCCCATTAACTGAAATGAACTCACTGGTTTAAGGAAGATTTCCAAAATCAAAATGATTAGTGTTCTTTCAAATTGTATTAATGCTCAGGTTCTATGAATGGACTAAACCAGTCATTCACATTTACTGTGATTTTATGTTAACTTTGTTAGTCAAAAAAAAAAGGTAGACTGAAGAGTTGTAGCCTTTTAAAAAAATAGTTTGTGTTTGAGCTTCATTATACCACATGATTTTTCTGTTGCCAAAAATTCTCTCTCTCTTAGCCTTAGTGGAATAGTAAAGAGAACGATATCCTTAGTTCTGTTAAAATAAAGTAAAATGTAAATCTTCAATTTCAAAGTAATGGCCCAATTTCTATTGATTCGTTTGGCATTTATTGTAATACTTTCCAAACCATTAATGTGCTAAAATGAGGAAGTAGTTGTATAGGTTTACTGGTTTATGTCTCAGTATAAATTAACTGGACCATTATTCTAAAATGTTACCTATTTTCTCATGAGTTCTAGATGTTGGAATAGAATGTATGCTTTGTTTTTACTACTCTCTTCTTCCTTTTAAAAAAATCAACTATACATTTTTTAAATATAGGACATCAGGGCCTGTTGTAGCATGGATTTTTAAGCAGAATTCCTCATTTAAAATGATGGGGAGATTCTGCTCAGATATCTATGGCACAATACAGCCTCTAGGAATTATGCATTGTAATAAGTGCAGTAGTATTTTAAGTTTCTTTGACAGATTCATATTTTTAGAAGTGCATAAGGAAATATTTAATAAAATAACTTGCTTAAAATAGTATATATTTAGTATTTACAGTAAATGGTTCCCTAAAATTTATCATCAACATACAACTGTTATTTCATGCTCTCATTGTCCTGCTATGGTTTCAGAATCTGAAACGTTTAAAAAATTTTCTGAGCATGTCCGGTTCATAAGTGTATGTGGCAAAAATGTCTATGGAACATATTCCCTGCTATTCTAGCAGTTTCATCTTTGAATCCATCACATATGATGATGCTCAGTACTGTATGCATATCATTTCAGTTCATTTCAGGATGGTAGTCTTGGTGTAAAAGGAAGACCTTCCTTTCATGAATAGGTTAAGCTGCTTCTGATTTTTTCCCCTGAAGCCACATTGGAATGCATTAGAACAAAAATGTTTATTTTTATTAACAATGTTGTATCGACAGAAGAAAAATCTCACTGGAAAAAACTGATTTTGGATGTCTTTGTTAAACATGAGGTATATTCTCATATCAGTGAATGGGAATTTATAGTAAAACTTCCATTAGTGCTAGTGGAAGTTACATATATAAATGCCTAGGCACCAATATGGAGTTATAGTTGCCTGAATGTTATAGAAAATATACTATATTGTTGCTTCATTATCTTCCATTATAGTTTTTAAAAATAGTTGATGAAAAATATGTGGTATAGAGTGTATACATTACTATATTGCTGCCATTCAATCTTTTCTAGTGGTATCTTTCTTTTCATGTAAACTTTTGGAACACTAGCTCTTGAGGCAAACCTCTGTGACATGAATAATCCATGTGCTATACCCAGAACTAAATTTCAAATGATAGTTACTTGCATATTAACAGAGATCTGTGAAGGTTTTAACAGCAATAATTTATTTTGGTTTCAATGCCAGATTCAACCATTATTTACTTGGTTCATTCCTCATGGTATCTGGCTATTACTTTTCATTAATCTAATCAAATTTAATATTGTATTGCCATATCTTGACAGGGCCATGCTTTTGCAACTCCCATTGGCTTCATAGGGACTTGTAGATACTCAGTACCACTGAAATCTCCTCTCAAACTATAAGGCCTGTGTTATTTGTGAATATAAATGAAATTTTAGCAATTTAATTTATATTGGTTATAGGAAATCATCAATTCATAAATACCTATTATGCATATATACCTTATTTATATGTATACAAAATATAAAATACTGAAAATTATTGCTAGGATAATTTGTTAACAATTTGAAATGAATTATGCATGAGGTTTACAAATGCCATTTGCTTCTTAACACACACAAATAAGACCTGTTAAAACTATACAAACAAAACCTCTCTGTCTTTTCCTCTACCCTTTCCATGAATTTGTTCAGTTGCTTCAAAATGCCAAAAACTGATCAGAACAAACACCTGCAGTTGTGACTGCTGTTCTGTCTCAAAAGAAACTGAGATTTTTCCCACTTCTGTCTAGATACTAATTGTTCCCCTTTACCAGGGTCTCTCAACAGCTCACAATTGTTTTTATGTTTTTGTGCTCACAGCAGCCCTGAGAGGCAGGGAGGAATTATCATCCTCATTTTACATCTGGGGAACAGAGGCACATTATTACTCATGAACTTGCCAAAGTCACATAGGCTATCCATGGCACAATACGGAATTGAACCTCAATCTGTCTCCATGGACCATCCTTCCTCTCCCTTTGCCCCCTCTCTTCCAGTCTGGATTACCCCCTACAGTGGCTAAACCTATAGCATGAAGTTCTGGGGAAGAAATCTGTAATTTCAGGGGGCCTGCCATCAGAGGGATTCCCACCACCCCCTTTGCCCAAGTAGTAGGTCCAGCTTTGTCAGTGAGTGTAGGAGAGCAAGAACAGCAACTGCCCTGAGGCCCAGTGATTCTAACGGATGTTGCTGCTGCTGCAGGATCAGCTGGAGCCCCAAGCTCTTAATTCGCTGCTGGAACACTGCTCTGGGTAGCTCAAAGGGCAGGGGAGAGGTGCAAAGTGGCACACTCTGGATGGCACTGAAGGCTGGCTGCCCGCCCCAAGTCCCACCCCTTCTACCTGAGGCTCTGCTCCTTCCAGCCATGCAGATCTGTCCTTTCCTCTACTTTGCCCAGGGGCCCGGTGTGGCTGTCGCCCCCCAAGTAGGCCATTCTGCTTACCATCAAACCTGGAAGATCTCCAGAGATTCGAGGGAGGCCACAGCCATCCACATGGACTCTGTGTACTTCTGCACTGTCTCTAGTCTAGTAGGGACATTCAGCAGAAACAATCCAAGGATGCGAGAAGATGACAATGTGTGTTTCCACCATAACTTTACCCTTTCTTCCCCTCTTGGCTTATCTGGTGTCCACTCCCTCACTCTGTGGAACTTATACCTGTAGATCAACCAGGGAAGAAACTACACCCTTCTTCCATGCAGGGGCAGAGAGATTTGTACCCAGAGGGTCCTCTTTACACGCAAATCTCAGGACACGATTTGGACTGAATTTAAAATAGAAAAGGATTAAAATGAGAGAGTAATGTTCACATAGGGCTAGACTGTAGAAATACTATTTGCCCCAAGTGAGGGACAGTGCCTGTGAGTGCACTGTTTCAGAAACAGACCAGCAATCAAATTGTTACTTCAGAGCCAATATTGAGCTCTCAATATTACTACTGTCACTTAAATTGCTTGAATGGTCTGAACAGTCTTTTATAAAGGTGTCCTTAAACTCAAAAGGCTCTGCAGTAATAGTCCTGACACATGCTAAAACTTTGCTTGAAGTCAGTAAGTTTAGTGTGTGTATGACCTCAGGATTGAGCCCAAAATGCTTTACATTTACTGTAACTATAAAACTAAAGAGTACTGGGGTAAATACTGCATAATATACATGTGAATGACCTTGTGTTAAGATCTGTATATTAAAGACTTCCCTCACTAGATTTTAGTTCAACAAGAAGACAGTTCTTAAAAGTCAACTGACCAACATTCCATTTAAGTTTCTGTATCTAGACAGTTCTGTTATAGGTCCCAGTTCTGCAAATTGTTTCATGTGAGCAGAGTCCAGCACCACATGGAATCCTTCTGAAGTTAGTGGGACTTAAAACAGACATTGATAATGTGAAGGAACAGATCTTTATACTGTAATATTGGACAATACAGTATTAATGCATAATGTCAGAGGTGTAAAATTACCATTCTCATGATTATTAAGTGTCTTTGCAGGTCAGTCATCAATTCAAGAATTTTTAAAATGCACATGCATAGTTTAATTAAAAGAATGTTTACTTTGATTTAAATTATTAAAGTGCTACATCAGTTGTTAGTAATAAGTTGAGTCTTTAGTAACAAAATCTGTTGCAGACTGTGTTGTGTATTCAATCAAAAAGTTTTTGATTTTTTTTTTAAATGTCCAGACATTTAACATTTTAGCAATAATGCACAAAACTTTGGTTATAAGAGCAATAAAATACCAAATAACATACAGTTTATATAAGCTATAGGATTATAGCAATAGTGAGGAAGCAATACAATCATTTAAAATTGTGTTTTAGTTAGTAAATCTGACCTGTGCAAGGACTTCATGTAAGCTGAATTCATATTTTACTGTTAGGCATTAATTATAGTATCTGTATCAGGGATGGGCAAATATCAGCCTGTGGGTCGGATTTAGTCCTCCGGGTTAGCCTCTGGTGGCCCACCACCACTATATGTACTTACCAGAGGTAAGGGTGATTGCAGCTCCTATTGGTAGCGGATCGCAGTTCCCGGCCAATGGGAGCTGCAGGAAGCAGTGTCCTGGTCCATGCCACTTCCCAAAGCTCCCATTGGCTGGGAACAACAATCCACGGTCAATGGGAGCTGCAAGCACCCATATGTGCAAAGGCACAGATAAATATAGTGGTTGTGGCCCACCAGCAGCTAATCCTGGCGAACTGACGCCATTTTATAGCCAACCCTAGATCTCTATGGAACATTGTTTCAGGTTGGTTTGCATTATGATCATTGGAGTCATTGTGTAGAACTTTTTTTGTGGATAACTGTTTACCTCAACTTTCATATCCTAAATTCATAACATTTCCAAGAGAGCATTATGTTCTTGTAATAGGGATTTCTATGGAATATATTCTTGTATATGATTTTAATTTTAATTTGCAGAGCAGCATTAGTATAATTTAATTACATTCAGAGTTTCCAGTTGTAAGGTTAGAAAAATTATTGGTTTTCACGCGAGCTATACTGAAAGTACCCCAAATATACAATGTTTACAATGTTGAAAATAGTGGAGGGGCCAAAGGACTCTATAGATCAGATCATCCATGCTCATTGGCAGCTTAGCCCCAATTTTGGGACATGAAAGGAACAAAATTTTGGTGTAATTGAAGAACACATTTTTCCTTCTCCCTTTCTCCTCTTCCACCAATTCCCAGGCCTGTTTAAAGCAAGCAGAAAGCTCCACTTTACAATGTCAGAGAATACTGGAACCCTATCATTGCCTGCTTCACATATACCTATAATAGATGTTAAGTGGTGTAGAGGGCTTTGTCCCATCCTTTATCACCTAGGCAAGGGCCTGATCTAAAACTTACTGAAATCAGTGGAAAGTCTTCCAATGTCATTGGATTTTGGATCAGGCTCAGGTTGAATTCCATCCCCAGCTTATTCTTCTCTCATTACCTCCTTCTCATGCCTACTTTAGGTACTAAATATTGGACATTTGTGGTTTGATTTCTCAATGGTGCTGAGCACCAGCTGTTCCCATTTGTTTCAGAGGGAGCTGGGGTTGCTTAGCACCACTGGCCATCAGGCCATTCATGGATTATTGTAATTTTCTTCACTTTTGTAAGTTTGTTCTTCAGCCAAAAGACCATATTTTCAAAATGTGGGAACTGACTTTCATCCACAGGAAGGGGACATGCTCCTGCTTTTGAGTGAAAATATTGGGTAGAATAGTCATTGTTTAAAAATCAACTGTTATCATATAAGCTATAGATGAGGTATCAGTTATTTCCCTGTGTTGGAAACAGCAGATATTGTGGATACCTCTGGTACCGTCACTATTTTTTTAAAAAAGGAAATGTGTATATTACAACGGGGAAACCTTGAAAGCAAAAATAAGACAAGAATGCTTGGCAATGGAAGGAGATTAGGTGCAATGAAAAAAGTAATGATATAGCTGAGTGTAAACTATATAGAACGGTCAAACTAAGTAACAGAGGCAGATATCACTATACCAGAAAGGCTGAACATCTCATGAGATCACACTTTTGTGTGAAAGGGTCCATACAGAATATCTTCTTGGATACAAATCTTAAGTATAAGAATAAAAAGTACACTTTTAGGGTACCACTAGCCACAGGAGAAAGATATTAAGAGCACATTTTAGAGAGGAATCAAAATTACAATTAAATATAACAAAAAAGTAGTAATGGGTGACCTCACCTACCCTCATATAGTCTGGTTAGATGTCACAATGGAAAGAGGTATAGAGAATCAATTTCTTGACAACTTAATTGATCGTCTTTTTCGAACAGCCAGTTCTAGAACACGAGAGACTATTCTTGAAATAGTTCTGAGCACTGTACAGAAAATACAAGAGGTAGCTAAAATTAAGTCACTATATGAATTAACCACAGTGTTTAAACTCCTCCTGTTTTTCTTTCTTGTTCAATATGTATATATGTCCACCTGCTTCCCCTTCAGTCTCAGCTTTCCTGCTGGTGTCAGTGTTAAATACTCTAAAGGAAGAGAATACACAAGGTCTCTAAGAGCAATACACGAGGGCGATGTTATTAGGACAAAGTGACCATCCACAAAGGAGTGGGACAAAATGATGTCAATTGCACAGAGTAAACAGATCAAAAATATAGAGTCAAATAAAAAAATCATTAATATTTTTCAGCTATAATAATCTTATGGGTTTCTTTCAAGAATAGTGAAACAGATTCATTCAAAATAGAATGGGTTTGTTGACCTTCAGGGTATACTTTCCCCAGGCTTTTGAGTAAGGTCAGTCTTAATGCGACTCTTTTTTGGTATGTCAGGGAAGCTTTGTTGAGGCTATATTTTGTCTGGAACTGCTGGTAGATTAGCTTTGAATTGATGGTAAATTGAGTGCAAATATGTGCTTCTTCTGGACATTAGAAATCAACATGAATAAAACATTTA